GATGGAGCTAGTAAATCCCCATATATATGTATGTAGTGTAGTTTCCAACTGAAAAAAACTTTGTGTTCCCAACAAGCTAGGTGAAAGACGGCTTTAACCCAGTGTTACTTCTCAGAACTGAGCATGTGGAGACACATTCGTTCATCTAGCACAAAGGGAACTGGTTGCAAGAGAAACACTTAAAGTGTTTTCACAGTCTGTTTCCTATTACTGGATAGAAGTTGAGGCAATTTTCACTATTAAACCTAGATTGAGCTAATACCACCCAAATATATGTATGTATTGTATTTTCCAACTGAAAAGAAACGTTGTGTTCCCAACAAGCTAGGTGAAGGACGGCTTTCACACACACTTATCTTTCAAAACTTAGCATGTGGAGAGATGTTCGTTCTTCTAGCAAAAAGTGGATGGTTAGCAGGAGAAAAACTTTTTCTGGTTTCTCAGTCTGTTTCTTAGTTCTGGTTTAAAATTCATTCAGTTGTCACTGTAAAACCAAGTTGGAGCTAGTTCTTCCCCTTGCATATGTATGTACTGTAGCTTCCAACTGAAAGAAATTTTGTGTTCCCTACAAACTAGGTAAAGGACGGTTTTCACAAAAACTTATATCAGAACTGAGACGTGGAGAGACTTTCGTTCATCTTGTACAAAGGAAACGGGTTGCAGGGGAAACACTTACACTGATGTCTCAGTCTGTTTTCTAGTGCTGGTTAGATGTTCATGCAGTTTTCACTGTAAAACAAAGTTGGAGCTAGTACATCCCCATATATATGTATCTAATGTAGTTTCCAACTGAAAAGAAACTTTGCTTCCCATCAAGCTAGGTGAACGATGGCTTTCAAACACACATATCTCTCATAACTGATCATGTGGAGAGAAGTTCTTTCACCTAGCCCAAAGGGAACTGTTTGCAGGGGAAACGCTTACTCTGGTTTCTCAGTCTGTTTCCTAGTGCTGGTTTGAAGTTCATCCAGTTTTCACTGTAAAACTAAGTTGGAGCTACTACTTCCCAAATATATTAATGTAGTGTAGTTTCTAAATGAAAATAAGCTTTGTTTTCCCAGCTTGCAATATGAAGGTGGCTTTAATATGCAGTTATCTCTCACAACTGAACATGTTGAGAGACGTTCGTGCATCTAGTACAAAGGGATTGTGTTGCAAGAGAAACACTTACTCTGGTTCTCAGTCTGTTTCCTAGTGCATGTTTGAAAGTCATGCAGATTTCACTGTAAAACCAAGTTGGAGCTAGTTCTTCCCCAAATATATGTATCTAGTGTAGATTCTGACAGAAAAGTTACTGAGTGTTCTCAAGAAGCTAGGTGATTGATGGCTTTCAGATACATTTAACTCTCAGAATTGAGCATGTGGATAGACGTTCTTTAATCTAGCATAAAGGGGATGGCTTGCAGTAGAAACACGTACTCTGGTTTCACAGTATGTTTCCTAGTTCTGGTTTATACTTCATGCAGTTTACACTGTAAAACTGAGTTGGAGCTAGTGCGTTCTATATGTATGTATGTATTATACTTTCCAACTCACAAGGAATTGTGTGTTCCCAACAAGCTAGGTGATTGATGGCTTTCACACACACTTAACTCTCAGTATTGTGCACGTGGAGATATGTTCGTTCATGGAGTACAGAAAATTGGTAGCAATAGAAACACTTACTCTGATTTCTCAGTAAATTCCCTAGTGCCGGTTTGATGTTCATGCAGTTTTCACTGTAAAACCGAGTTGCAGCTAGTACCCCCCTTATATATTTATCTAGTGTAGTTTCCCACTCAATAGAAACTGTGTGTTCCCTTGCTAGGTGATCGACAGCTTTCACACACACTTAACAGTCAGAGTTGAGCACAAAGAGAAGTGTTCATTCATGTAGCTTAAAGGGAATGGGTTGCAGTGAAAATAATTACTCTGGTTCCTCATTCTGTTTCCTAGTGCTGGTTTGAAGTTCATGCAGTTTTCACTGTATAATCGTGTTGGAGCTAATTCCTCTGCAGATGTATGTATATATTGTAGATTCCAACTGAAAAGAAACTGTGTGTTCCCATCAAGCTAGGTGATTGATGGCTTTCACACACACTTATCTCTCAGATTTGAACACGTGGAGAATCATTCATTCATGTAGCATAGAGAATAGGTAACACTAGAAACACTTAGTCTGATTTTTCAGTATGTTTCCTACTGCCAGTTTGAAGTTCATGCAGTTTTCACTTTAAAACCGAGTTCAAGTTCTATCTCCCCATATATATGTATGTAGTGTATTTTCCCACTCAAAAGAATCTGTGTGTTCCCAAAAAGCTACATGATTGATGGCTTTAACACACACTTATCTCTCAGAATTGAGCATGCATATAGACTTTGTTCATGTAGCAAGTGAAGGGAATGGTTTGCAATGGAAACACATACTTTGATTTCTCAGTATGTTTCCTACTGCCTGTTTAAAGTTCATGCAGTTTTCACTGTAATACCGAGTTGCAGCTAGTACCTCCCCATAGAAATGTATGTAGTGTAGTTCCCCTCTCAAAATAAACTGTGTGTTCCCTATAAGCAAATTGGTAGTTGGCTATTGCATACATTGAACTCTCAGTAATGAGCAGGTAGAGAGGCTTTCTTTCATCTAGCATGAAGAGAATATGTAGTAATAAAAACACTTAATTTGATTTCTCAGCATGTTTCCTAGTGCCAGTTTTAAGTTCATGCATTTTTCACTGTAAAACCGTGTTGGAGTTAGTACCTCCCAATATATATGTATGTAGACTAGTTTCCCACTGAAAGAAACTGTGTTCCATACAAGCTAGGTGATTGAGTGCTTTCACACACACTTAACTCACAGAATTGAGCATGTGGAGAGACGTTCATTCATCTAGCATAAAGGGAATGGGTTGCAATAGAAACACTTACTCTGCTTTTTCATTATGATTCCTTGTGCCGGTTTGATATTCATGCAGTTTCCACTGTAAAAGATTGTTGGAGCTAGTACCTCCCAATATATATGTATTTGGTGTAATTTCCCACTAAAGAAACTGTGTGTTCCCAACGAGATACGTGATTGACGGCTTTAAAACAAAATGAATTTTCTGAATTGAGCATGTGGATAGACGTTCATTCATGTAGCATAGAGAATAGATAGCACTAGAAACACTTACTTTGTTTTTTCAGTATTTTTCCTTGTGCCGGTTTGACGTCCATGCAGTTTTCACTGTACAACCAAGTTGTAGCTAGTACCTTCCCATGTATATATATGTAGTGTAGTTTCAAACTGAAAAGTAACTGTGTGCTCCCAACAAGCTAGGTGTAGGACAGCTTTCTCTCACACTTAACTCTCAGATTGAGCATGTGGAGATATCTTAGTTCATCTAGCATAAAGGAATGGGTTGCATTAGAAACACTAAGTCTGGTTCTCAATATGTTTTCTACTGCCAGTTTGAAATTCATGTAATGTTCACTGTAAAACCGAGTTGGAGCTAGTTCATTCCCAGATATATGTATCTAGTGAAGATTGTGACTGAAAAGAAACTGTGTGTTCCCATCAATTTAGGTGACTAATGGCTTTCATACACACTTAAATCTCAGAATTGAGCATGCGGAGAGATGTTCGTTCCTCTAGCATTAAGAATGGGTTGCAGTAGAAACACTTACTCTGTTTTGCAGTATGTTTCATAGTGCCAGTTTGAAATTCATGTAGTTTTCACTGTAAAACCGAGTTGGAGCTAGTTCCTCCCCAGATATATGTATCAAGTGTAGATTCCCACTTAAAAGAAACTGTGTGTTCCCATCAATCATGGTGATTGATGACTTTCACACACACTTAACACTCAGAATTGGACATGTGTAGAGTCGTTTGTTCAACTAGCATAAAGGGAATGGGTTTCATTAGAAATACATACTCCAGTTTCTCAGTATGTTTCCTAGTGTGGGATTGAAGTTCATGTAATTTTTACTGGAAAACCGATTTAGAGATTGTATCTCTCCATGTATATGTATTTAGTGAAGATTCCAACTGAAATGTAACTGTGTGTTCCCAACAAGATATGTATATGACCGCTTTCACTCACAATTATCTCTCAGATTTGTCCATGTGGAGAGATGTTTGTTCATTTAGCATAAGTGTATTTGGTTGCAGTAGAAACACTTACTCAGGTTTCTCAGTATGTTTCATATTGCCAGTTTGAAGTTCATGCAGTTTTCACTGTAAAACCTTGTTGGAGCTAGTACCTCACCATATACATGTATGTAGTGTAGTTTCCCACTCAAAGAAACTGTGTGTTCCCAACAACCTAGGTGATTGATGGCTTTAACACACTGTTCAATCTCAGAATTGAGAATGTGGAGAGACGTTCATTCATGTAGAATAAAGGTAAACTTTTGTAGTAGAAACACTTACTTTGGTTTTTCAGAATGTTTCCTAGATCCAGTTTGAAGTTCATGCAGTTTTCACTCTGAAAACGAGTTGGACCATGTACCTCCCCATATATATGTAAGTAGTGTAGATCCCCACTGAAAAGAATTTGTGTTACCAAATAACTAGGTGAATGACAGCTTTCACACACATTTAACCCTCAGAATTGGGCATGTGGAGAGACGTTCGTTCATCTAGCATAAAGGAAATGGATTGCAGTAGAAACACTTACTCTGGTGGTTCAGTATGTTTCCTAGTGCCGTTAGATGTTCATGCAGCTTTCACTGCAAGATCGAGTTGGAGCTTGTACCTCCCCATATATATGTATGTAGTGTAATTTCCCACTGAAAAGAAAATGTGTGTTCTCAACAAGCTAGTTGAATGATGGCTTTAATACCCAATCATCTCTCAGAATTGAGTATGTGGAGAGAAGTTCGTTCATCTAGCATAAATGGAATGGGTTGCAGAAGAAACACATGCTCTATTTCTCAGTATTTTTCCTAGGGCCAGATTGAAATTCGTGCAGTTTTCACTGTAAAAGGGAGTTGGCGCTAGTACCTCCCCATATATATGTGTGTAGCATAGTTTCCCAACAAAGAAACTGTGTGTTCCCAACAACCTAGGTGATTGACGGTTTTCACATACACTTAACTCTCAGATTTGAGCACGTCAAGAGACATTCGTTCATGTAGTTTAGAGAATATGTAGCACTAGGAACACTTAATCTGAATTTTCAGTATGACTCCTTCTACCAGTTTGAAGTTCATGCAGTTTTCAATGTAAAACAAAGATGGAGTATTACCTTCCAATATATATGTATGTGGACCAGTTTCCCACTCAAAAGAAACTCTATGTTCCCAACAAGCTCAGTGATTGATGGCTTTCACACACACTTAACTCTCACATTTGAGAATGGGGAGAAAAGTCCGTTCATCTACTATAAATTTAATTGGTGGCATTAGAAACACTTACTCTGGTTTCTCAGTATGTTTCCTTGTGCCCATTTGAAGTTCATGCAGTTTTCAATATAAAACCGACTTGGAGTTAGTACCACCCCATATATATTTATGTAGTATAGTTTCCCACTGAAAAGGAACTGTCTGTTCCTAACAAGCTAGGTGATTGTTGGCTTTCACACACACTTAACTCTCAAAATTGAGCATGTGGAGAGGCATTCGTTCATCTAGGATAAAGGGAATGTGTTGCAGTAGAAACAGTTACTCTGGTTTATCAATATATTTTCTAGTGCCAGTTTGAAATACATGCAGTTTTCACTCTCAAACCATGTTGGAGATAGTACCTCCCAATATATTTGTATGTAGTGTAGTTTCCCTCTCAAAGAAACTGTGTATTGACTCAGAGAAGATGGAAGATTAGAAGGGCACTCACAGCTCACCCTCTCCCACAAATACACCAAGACTCGCATCTACAGACCCACTCAGCCAGCCAGAGCACCTGCAGAACTCTGACAGAACATCGCCCTCTTCAAAAGATAAAGACGCCAAAACTCTGGTAGGAGAAAAGGAAAAAAGAAAGAACAAAAGGCAAAGCAGAGTGGGACGTGTCCTGCAGGGAGGGAGCAGCAAAGGAAGACTGGTGCTCGCTCACTGCATATCCCCTTTTCAACTGAGAGGCCAGCGGGATGGAGGGGGAGCCTCCGAGGCTCGGATCTATATGGAACAAATCTTGACTGAGAGAACTAAGTTAAACTGGCACAGAGGGTCCCCCCGACTCCCAGCCTGAGACACGGGCCGACAGCAGCGGGCAGGGCCAGGCTGCACAAGCCAGGCCGAGGATGGGGGCTGCTGCATTGAGGCAGCCCTAGGGGAATGCTAGGGGCTGCATGCTGTGGCTGTGGGTGTACAGGACAGAACAAATTGGGCCCCCAATAAAACAGCAAGGTTGATGTGCTCATGGGGGAAGGGTTCATACCCCCATCTCTGAAAACCCACAGAAACTTTTTGGGGAAAGAGGGGTGGGGCTCAGGCACAGCCGCCATATCCTCCGGTGCTTAGCATCCAGGTGGTAGCAGGGGCAAAACCTGCATCCTCACCGAAGGGCTTAGCAGCCTCAAAGGCCAAACTGAGACTGACCTACAGCCTGGGGCAGATAGGATCCTACCATCCTGGTCCCTCAGAGAACTTGCTGCACAAAGACAAACAAGGAGTTGGGTCTTGGCTCAGAGCAGGGACAAGGCTGTCCCTCGGTCTTTCCCGAGCCCACCTGTGGAGCACCGACCAGGGTGGAGCGTGCAGCTGCACAGAGCAGCAGAGCTACCAGTGCAGGTAGAGGGAGAGCGGCCTCCTGCCTTTCGGGCAGGAACACAGCCCATGACCGAGGTGCTGGGAGGGGGGACGACCCACCCTCCTACCTGGCCAGTCTGCAACATCTGACAGTGGCATCGAGAGGGGCAGTGACTCGCCCACCCACAGCAGACGAGAGATGCACCTGACCAAGTGTCAGGAGGAGGTGCAATCTGCTTGCCAACAGATACTGGGAGCAGCAAAGAAGAGGGCGCCAATGGAGGGCCTCTGAAAACAGCAAGCTGAGCTTCCAAAACAGGACAAAGAGAGAAAGACTTCACATAAAAAGCACACAGACTCCAGGAGAACACTGACAACCCCCCCTTTTTTTTAAATCAGATTTTACCTGTTCTATTTTCTATTACCCTCTTAATTTTTACTTCTTAATCCATTTCTATTTCTCTTGGGATTGATGTTCTGTTATTGATTAGACACAGGTTTCAAATACATCTATTCATCTTCCCCCCCCCCTTTTTTAAAGGTTTTAAAAGGACGATCAACCCAATTAATACTCTGCTTCAACTCGCTCTTCTATTATTTATTATACACTGTTTTAAACCCTCTTTCTCCCTTCTTTTAAAATTCTTTCTCTCTCTCTCTTATTTTTTTTCTTTTTTTCTAAGTTCTATTCCTAAATAGGCATTAGATAGATAAACCTCTTAAGGATTAAAACAGTAAACTGATACTCCATAAACCACAGTGTCAGAGAGGTATGAGCAAGATGAAGAAGCAGAGAAACATTTCCAAGTTAAAACAACAAGAGAAATCCCCTGAAAGAAAGATCAATGAAATAGATATCGATAGCCAACTAGATAAAGATTTCAAAAAAGGAGTGATCAAATTG